TTCAATAATGATAACCGTTTTTTTTTAAAAAAAAATTACACAAATCATTTATTATTTATACGTTTTATGATTTCCCCTCACCCCCGCCCTCCCCCCACACACACACACACGCACACGCGATTATTTTTCGTTTAAACGTATTATGATGATGATGATGATGATGATTTTTTTTATTAAAATTAATTTAATTTCTTAACAAGTTTATGATTTTACAAGGTTTTGTAAGGGAATTTTAAATATGTTTCGTTTTTACAATGTTGTTATTATCATTATTATCACGCGCAAAACGTAAAATTTTCCAAAATTTAATCGAAGTTTTCCGAATCGAGTTTTAAGGTTTTGTTTCCTTAAAACATTTTATTGTTTATTAATTGTTTCTATTAAATCGTAACGAATAAAATTTTTTAACGAATTAAATTTTCAAAGATTTTTTAATGTGAATTCTTCCTCCTCCTTCTCCTACCACCCCCCCCCCACACACAAGAATTGGAAAAAATTTCCCAAAACACTCCCAGGATGACCAAAAAATTTTCACTTTGTCTTCCTCGCCTTCTTCAGCAGTTTCTTCATTTCCCTTTTTTTTTGTCTTTTCTCCTGTTTCCCCCCCCTTTTCCCTCTCCCCCTGTTCCCTCTCACAATTAAATTAATTAATTATAATAAAATTATTTTTTAAGTGGCGACTTCTCCTGTCCATTCAATTTCATTTTCACAATGAGAGATTTAACAAATTTTTTTGAAAATTTTTTTTCATTGTCTCTTGTTTTTATTTTCCAATATCGGACAATAACGGAAATTAATTATAACGGAAATGATCAATTACTTCCTGTCGCGATTGTTAAATTTACCAAAACACTATTTTAGGATTTTAAAAAAAAAACTCGTCATTTTTTTTACAAAACTCGATACGGTACTGTACTGATGATGAATGTGCCATATTACATTTTCATTTCAAATGTCGCCCCTCAAAACTTAAATAAGTACAAAGTTTTCCTTTTTTTTCTGTCCATTGTCTCAATGGTCATGCGTTAATGTATCATTTAATTTCCTTTGAGATTGAACTTTGTCACAACTACTGCCACTTCTACCATTTACATTCATAACATTTGCAAATCTGGCATTTTTCCATTTTTTTTTTTAATTTTATCTTTTTCTATCATCTGTTTTAAACAATTTTTTTCTTTAAGTAATAATAATAATAATAATTACTACGGGTTATAATTAAAAATAAAATAAGATTCATTAATTATTTTAATTTTTCCCCTCCTCCTCCTCCTCCTCCTCTTGTCCCCCTCTTAGATACGTTTCATAAAATAAAAGTAAGTCACCCTTGTAATGAATTCAGGCACGCAAATTTTTAAATAAAAATGAAATCCTTACAACTATTATATAAAGAATGAAAATTGATTGTTGAGTTTATACCAAAAAATAATAATAATAATAATAATAATAATAATAATAATAATAATAATAATCATGAATTATGAGAAAATAAACTGAATTTAAATAATTTGACCTCGAAATTTCATTCTTGTAAAAAAGACGAATAAATATGCTTGGAAAACAGAAGAAGAAGAATAAAAAATTACAAATCCCATGTTTAAAATGATAATGATGATGATGATGATGATGATGATAATGATAATGTTTCGCTTTACGAAAATCAAAGATTAAAACCGTTAAAATTATTCATTAATTAACGTTAATAGAAAATTTTTTTTTTTTTTTTTTTTGATTTCGTAACATTTTAACCGTCATTTTCATTTCAAATTTGAAATTTTTTTTTTTTTTTGTTTTTCCCGTTTGTAAAATTTAAAAAAAAATTTTCCTGGTAATAAAAACTAAACCTGGATTTTACATACCACGCGCCATTTTAAAATTCCAGGTTTAAAAAAAATTTTCAAAATGATGATGATGATGATGATGAAATTCATTTAAGTTATAAAGAAAATTTTTTTTGCTTTTCTTTTAAGGTTTACGAAACGAATTTTGCGTGTGTTTGTGTGTGTGGGTTTGTTTGTTTGTTTGTTTCAAAACATTCGCACGAAATAAAACAAAAACCGTAGAAAACAATTCGATTTAACTAAAATGTTTGTCGGACAATTATAAAACGTTACACGGATGAATAATAACAAAAGAAAGAAATTGAAAGAAAAATGTTCACACTCGACCATTTTGTTTTTAAAATGATAATAATATTAATAAATGACGTAATAAATAACAAATCCTGTTTTGTCGTGAGTGACGTAAAATATTTTTTAAATAACTCCCGGAAAAAAAAAAATAAAAATTTTTCTATCGAAAAAAATTCTATGGTGGTGACATTGTTTGTCGTAAATGGTAGAGTTTTGCCTTTAAAAATATTATTTAAAAACAATAATAATAATAATAGCTCTCGTCCTCGATCGATTTTATAGAGAGAAAAAAAAACACTTCATTTTTTTTTTTTTTTTTTTTTCAAAATGTTCATCTATAAAAGAATTGATGACACTAAAACGACAATGAAAAAACGTCATATTACATCAAGGCTATACCGCCATTAATAAAAATGTCGGATTTTTTTTTCGTATTGAAAAATGATTTCAATACAAAATAATTAAAATAAAAAGCTATAATAATAAAAATAATAATAATAATAATAATAATAATAATAATAATAATGTTTTTTTAATAAAAATTTCCCGATTACGAAAACGAAAACAATTCGAACTGAAATAAAACAAATGTTTACATAAGAAAAGAAAATTGTCGTCGTTGAATTCGAATAAAATTTGAGAGGGAAAAAATTTCCCTGCATTCAAATTTCCCTGCATAATTAATCGATTCGATACCGAAACTCCGCATAATATATAAATTAAATTAAATCATTTTTATTTTGGTTATTCAAAAATAAATACGAGAATTGATTTAATGAAAATGTCGCCAAAATGAAAAAAAAAAAATTTTTTTAATTTTAACGTTAGTGATAATAATAATAAAAAAAAAGTAAAATAAAATTCTAGAAAAAAAAAAAAAACAAAAACGGTGGCATCAGTTGTTTTAACACCTCAACGTTATCTCAAACTCTTAAATCCATTTACAAACAAAAAAAAAAAAAATTTTGTGTCTACTGCTGCTCCTGTTCTTTAGAAAATTGTCAAATAATTTATCAAATAACGCAAACGCAATGTCGCAAACCTTTTATTTATTTATACTTTAAAACAATTTTCATTCTCTCTCTCTCTCTCTCTCTTTCTACCTTCTTATTCTTACATAACTTTAATTTTTTAATATGAAAATCATGTAATACTTAAACATAGAGAGAGAGGGGGGGGAGAGAGAGAGAAAGAGAGATAGAGAGAGTAAAAAGATATTTAAAAACTTTTCTTTCACATTTGCGATACGTAAAACTTTTGGCAAACATTTTATTAACCTAAATTTTTCATTAAAAAAAAAAATTATTTTTATATACTTTCGAGAAAGAAAATAATAATAATAATAATAATGATAATAATATTTTTCTTTCGAACGTTTTAAATTAAAATTTTAATTAACTTTAAAAAAATCATTATTATTATTATTATGGGACAACATTAAATATTATTAAATTCGATTTAAACGTTTGAGTCGTTGTTGTTGTCGTTAATTCGACATTTATTATTATTATTATTATAATTATTATTATTATTATTTCTTCTATTCAAATCAAACAAAAAAAAAAAACAAAAACCTAAACGAGTCAAATAATTATAAGGGGGAAGTGGGGGGAAGGGGTAGGAGAAAGAAAGCCTCAACATATTATTATTACTTTTTTGGCAATGCAGAACCCACCAACAAACAAACAAACAATTCAATGTAAAACACAAAACAACAAAATAAAACACCTTCTTAAAATTTAATCACCCCTTCCTCCTCACCCACCCCCCCAAAAATTAATTCAAGTGCGTAATAATCAGTCATTCATTCATTTCCTTTTTTTTTTTTTTAATTCATTCGTACACAAAAAGCAGCATTAAAAAATCCTTGTAAAATCCATTTAAATTTAAAATTTTTAGAAAAAAAATTATTCATAAACATTTTTTTTTAATTATATGAAAATTTATTACCTCACACAACCTATTGAATTAATAACAAATAATAATAATAATAATAATAATAATAATAATTTAAAATCATTCATGTTAATAGAATTAAAATTTAAGAAAAATTAAACAATAAAATTGTGTAATCATCATCATCATCATCATCATCATTATTATTTTAATCATTTTACTGTTTTCTTTTATATTATTAACTTGAATGATTTTATTAATAAATAAATAATATTTATAAACTTACCAATTTATGATGATGTAAAAAATGGTTCCTCCATGATATACGAACATCATTTGATTATTTCAACCTCCATATTGTTTTTCTTCTTCTTTAAAAAACCACACACAAATTTTTTTTATTTTTTTATTTTGTTAGCATCCATTTTGTAAAAAACAAAATCATGACAAGAATTAATCCGATAAATTAGTTTTTTTTTTTTTTTTTTTTTTTTAAAAACTTTAAGTTTACTTAATGAAGACAAAATGTCAACGAAAAATGAAAATTAACAAACCAAAAAACAAAAAACTATTAATTGCACAAAACTAATAATAATAATGTTTGGTTTAACTTTTGTCAAAGGAACCAATCAATCACATAATCATTTTACAAAAATAGTCAAAATTTTTAAATAAAATCTATATGTAAATACAATCATGGTGGGGGAGGGAAGGAGGGGGGGAAGCTAAAATCCAAGAGAAAATGAAGTTAATGGAGTTCCTTAACAAAAATTTTTTTTTTTTCCTTTTTACCATTTTCTAGTATTTTTTTTTTTTTTTAATAGATTTTCCTAAAGCTTAAATAAATCATTATTATTATTGCATATTTTATGGGCACATCAGATCCTAATTGAAGAATTGGCAATTATGGTATATTTCACCTTCTACTTATTATTTTATAAAAATTTTTCTTCTTTTGAAAAAGAACTCAAATTAAAACTCGGCAAATTCTTTAGCACATTTTTCTGTTGATGATATTCTCAATGCTTCTTCTTCGTAATCATCAAAATTACTTGTGTCGCCTGCACCCTTGCATCTAGGTATGAATGGCGCTTCTATTTTCTTCTGGAAAACAGCTATCCAATCCGTCGATGCAAACCATTTATGACCTTTTATATCATTCACTCCATTTTTTAAATTTCCATATCTTTTAGTTAGATCAACTTGGAGTAAATTTCTCAGTAGATCTTTTAAATCTGAGCCAAAGTGTGATGGAAATCTCACTTTACCAGATACTATTTTCTCATATATTTGTATTGGTTGATCAGCAAAAAATGGAGGATAACCAGCAGCCATTTCGTAGACGAGAACTCCGAGTGCCCACCAATCGACTGCTTTGTTAT